TTCAAACATCTCTGTATGTTACAAAACATATGCATTAATTTTGTAATATTGAAAAAACAAAAGGAAAGTCTTAATGTTTCCCTTAGGGAAATGTTTTTTCAGACAAAAAATCAAAACACACATACGTGCACAGATTATCAGAACTTTCTGGGAAACAGTAACAAAAATATTAAACTTGAATCAGAAAACTTGGATTTTAGTATCAGTTTCAATTATCTTTTAATGTCAAACAATCTCTATGTCCTTACTTGCAAATTAAAAATAAAAATTTTTATTTTGTTCACCTCAGGTTACTATGAGGATTAATAATATATATAAGTTATGAAAGGCTATGCAAATAGCAGTTATATATTCTATGCAACCTGAAATTGGTTAGTAGTCAAAGACCATGAATGCTAGCATTGGCAATAAAATGGAAAGGCTGCTTACATAGGGACCATTCTCCTCTAGAGTTAAATATCTAATTTAAATAGGATAATACCTGACCAGAGTTATCCAACACTTACAGCTTATTAAATGGCAACCCTGAAAACTGCTTATCATTAACAATAATGCTAATTACCTCACATGGTTGTAAAAATTAAACGAGTTAAAAAAATGTGCAAAGTGCTTATAACAGCATTTAGTTTACAGAAAGCAATAATTTACTAAAATTTACTAATACTATTGTGATTATGATTATGATTATCGACTTCTCAAGATTTTATGAGTTAACATAAAAGTGTTTATAAATTATTAAGGCATGACAGGTGATATAGTTTGAGTATCTGTCCGCTCGGAATCTCATGTTGAAATCTGATCACAACGGAGGTAGGGCCTAGTCGGAGGTGTTTGGATCATGGGGGTAGATCCCTCACAAATGGTTTGGTGCCCTCCCCACAGTAATGAGTGAATGGTTAATAAGTGACTTCTCGCTCTATTAGTTCACACCAGAGCTGGTTGTTTAAAAGAGCGTGGCACCTACCCACCCCCTTGCTCCCTTCTCAAGACACGTGACATCCCCATCCCCTTGCCCTTTCACCATGATTGGAAGCTTCCTGAAGCCCTCACGAGAAGCAGATGCGGGCACCATGCTTCTTGTACAGCCTGCAGAACTGTGAGCCAAATAAATCTCTTTTCTTTATAAATCACCCAGCCTCAGGTATTCCTTTATAGCAACAGAAAATGGACTAGGACAATAAGCAATAGAAGTATTAGAAAATATTAAGACTTCATTTAAATCTCTTATCAGGGAAACATCTACTTAATAATTGGATCTTCTCCTCTGTCCTCTTAAAGCGTATAACACGTGAGCAATCACTAAGTGCTTCCTATGAATTTTTAAATTTATATACAATTTTTCTGAGTAATTTCAAAGTAATCATATTCTATCTTAGAATATTGCTATCCTTGGTTTTATAATAGAAACAAGTAAAATAACAAAATTATGTAGTTAAAAAGCAGAAATGGAGAAAGTTTCCATAAGTAACTTTCAGCATTCAAAAAAATCTTTAAGTCTGTTATGTTTCAACCCAAACTTCCAAAATGATTTCAATTCAAATGCAGCTCCATCCAAAGGAACTACGATGTTTAGCTTCTACTAAAATTGAATGAATCACAGGCCACAACTTGTCTGTTACTATCATTCCTCATTTCTGAGATTCTCGGACTCCACCTGGAATCTTTTAACACCATCCAAAACGAAGATTTTATCACTTTAAACTGAGAAAAGCTATCAAGTGGATGTGCCAAAAGAATCATTTAAATCTTATTCAGAAGGGTGGAGCCAAAATTTCTGAAAACTAGCAACTTTCAATGGATGGGAGAGTACAGTATATCTACTACATAAACTTCTTTCCTTGGTCCAACTTACAGACCTACTAGAGTTTTGGCTATTCCCTCACAACCACATGCTAGTCTTTCAAGAGAATGCTATGCAGCCATGAAAAACAGCACAGATCAATACTTATAGACACGGAGATCTCTCTATAGTATATTGCTGGAAAAAGTAGGCTGTAGCATAACAAGTATAATGATCTTATTTTTATAAAATATATACACTTGCAGGCAGGCAGAAAAGACTAGAAAGATAAGCACCACAACAATGAATGTAGCTGACTTACGTGGATGGCAAAATTTTGAGTGTTTAAATTTTTGGATTATCTGGATTTTTTTTGACAGCAAGTGTATATTATTTTTTATAATTGGGGAAAATGCTTTTTTTTTTTTTTGAAACAGAGTCTCACTCTGTCACCAGGGTAGAGCGCAGTGGCGTCATCCTCACTCACTCACCACAACCTCGAACTCTCGGCTCAAATGATCCTCCTGCCTCAGGCTCCCAAGTAGCTGGGACTATAGGCATGTGCCACCTCACCCAGCTAATTTTTTCTATGTTTTGTAAAGATAGGGTCTCGCTCTTGCTCAGGCTGGTCTAGAACTCCTGACTTCAAGCGATCCTCCCACCTCAGCCTCCCAGAGTGAAAACACTGTTTTCATTTGCTAGTCAGGCAAAAAACTATACCTGCTTTCATCTCAAAAAGCTGTAAGTCAGAGTCACTTCGTTTACAGTCCAAAGAGAAAGACATTAATTTTAGACCCACTATTTGAACACTGACAACCATCAGTACTTATCCAGAGAAATAAAAAGGATACAGTGTGTTAAAAATAAAAATCAGCTGAGCTAGAGGCACCATGGTTAAAATCCTTTCAGAAAAAAAGCTGCCCACTGCTAACACCAGTCTTTAAATTTTCTGTTTTTGAAACTGCCTCTTTCCATTCTATGGAAAATAAACAGATTATTTCACCAAAATCCTGGGCATTTCCATAGACCCAGAGATCCTTCTTGAAAAACTTTCTGGCTATGCCTGTACCTTCCACAGCAACTTACATGGTGAAGAGGTAGAATGGTTCTAATCTAGACAGAATAAATACGTCAAACTCTTTATTTCATATAACTTAAGGTCAATTTTCCCTGATACGCTTTCAGTCAGAGTCATACAAGGCCTGCACACTCCAGGCACTGGCCAGATAACTCAAATTTTAATTGATTTCTATACAGGTGCTGTCAAAAACCCACTTGAGGCCCGGTGCAGTGGCTCACGCCTGTAATCCCAGCACCCTGGGAAGCTGAGGCGGGCGGATTGTTGGAGCTCAGGAGTTCGAGACCAGCCTGAGCAAGAGCGAGGCCCCGTCTCTACTAAAAATAGAAAGAAATTATTAATCAGACAACTAAAAATACATAGAAAAAATTAGCCAGGCATGGTGGCGCATGCCTGTAGTCCCAGCTACTCGGGAGGCTGAGGCAGAAGGATTGCTTGAGTCCAGGAGTTTGAGGTTGCTGTGAGCTAAGATGATGCCATGGCACTCTAGCCCGGGCAACACAGTGAGACTCTGTCTCAGAGGGAAAAAAAAAAAAACCCACTTGAAACAACCGAATATTTTAAAGACATTCAAGGGAATTGGCAATTATCTGTTATTCTGGATTTTTTTCTATTACTACTGTATCAAGTAAAGAGTCATAGAAAATCATAAATCTAACAAACTTCAGTATTCTACAGGAACGCTTTTTTATAGATTATTTACATATTTTAAATTTTTAAAATATGCTTTTAAAAATTTATTTGATTTTTTTTTTTGGAGACAGAATCTTCCTCTGTCACCCTAGGCAGAGTGCACTGGCATCACTATAGCTCACAGCAACCTCAAACTCCTGGGCTCCACCAATCCTCTTGCTTCAGACTCCTGAGTAGCTGGGAATACAGGCACACACCATGACGCCTGGCTTATTTTTCTATTTTTAGTAGAGACAGGGTCTCACTCTTGCTCAGGCTGGTCTCAAACTCCTGAGCTCAAGTGATCCTCCCACCTCAGCCTCCCAGAGTGCTAGGATTATACGCATGAGCCACTACACCTGGTCGGAACACATTTTATATAAGCCTTTGGTTTTTAATTAGTAATAATAAATACATCTATATGTAAAGAATTTTACCTTCTACAAAAGATACTATCCATCAAGTCATATATTCTTACTTACATAGAAAGTCACGTATAAATTCTTCTTAGATTTTATTGCTAGAAAAAAAGCTTTTTTTTTTTTTTTAGCAGATGAGAAATACTAAACTCATACATTTATTTCAGTTTTTGTCTTTGCTGTTAGGAGGCTCAAAACTAAATTTTACTTAGGCTGGGCTTCTGGTGTATCTTCTAATATTTTATGTAGCCCTTGATCTTTTAGTATATGTAATACAGAATTCTACTATGTACGTATTTTATCAAGCTGCTTCATAATCAGGCATAAGATGGCCATTGCCAATGTCAAAAATTTGAATCAAGTCACAATTCTGTATAGATGCTTTTGCCACAGTAACAATTAGCTGTAAAGTTTTTAACACAATGCCACACTAAAAAAATTTATTTTTCCTTGGGGCCACAGTGTTTTATTACGAAAATAGAATAAAAACTTCGAAAACAAAATGATCCTTTCTAATTTAATCAAAAATTGGTTATTTTTTATTGTTTTCTGTGTGTGAGTTATATGCAATTAAATTGTCAATATTAATTGTAACAATAAAAACATCAACAAGCAAGATTTTCACAAACCAGCTGCAGGGTTTTGCCCCAGGGGCAACCTATCACATAACATGTATGCTACAGCATGGCAGCATGAGTTGCCTGCCTACCACACTGTTCCCAAGGTAAAGAGACATGTGAGTTGCATATGCTTCCCGAGGCCCTGGGCTCAAAACTAACGTGAGCTAAATACAACTCACATGGCAGTTAATGTGTTAAATGACAACAAATGCCTCAAATTTATTAAGCTCAATTTTCAAATTAGAAGGCTGGGGCAAAAGGCGATGGCAAAGAAACCAATGCTTTCATTTCTGGTGAAGAAAGCATTTTAAAATATACAGGTCTCTACGAAAATATTAAAAGTTTTAAAAATTTAAGTTTGCTTAATTTCACTTACCATGCTTTTTCAAAATTAGTATGGTATTTTAATTATGACAAAAAAACTTACATACCTTATGTAAACAAGTGTCCACTACCCAATTGCACACATTTTCCAGGTCATCAGATACCTCAAGCCTAGATTTAACAAATTCACAGAGCTCCTCATTACTCATAACATCCCAGATCCCATCACAAGCCAAGATGATAAATTCATCCTCTTCTGCTCTTAAAATTTCATAAACCTCAGGCTCTGGAGAAACAAGTTGTTCTGTTGGGCCCTTGCCATCAACACACTTGTAATCATAGTCCCCCAGAGCACGAGACACTGCTAATGAACCATTAACACGTTGTATCATTACGCTGCCTCCTGCATTTTGGATTCGCTCCTTTTCCCTTGGATTGCAAGGTTTGTGATCCTGGGTAGAAAAGCAGACTTGTCCATTCCTATACAGAACAGCACGTGAATCACCACAGTTGATGAAGTAGATATGCTTAGGTGAAATCATAACTCCCACTGCAGTTGAACCGCTCCTGTCCATCCCATTTCTGAGGTCTGAAAAGTTACGCATGTATTCATCAATTTTCAAAAAGCCAGTTCTGATACCATTCTTGACATTTTCCACTGAAAGCTCAAGAGCAGATCCTGATTTTCCAGCTGCCCTAAAGTCTTCATTAGTAGTGATGTGTTCTAATAAATGTGATGAACAGTAATTTGCCACTCGGGATCCAGCATGACCATCATAAACTGCAAAAAATGACCAGTCTTCCAAGCCGTGAGGAATACCTACAACAGCTGTGTGTGCATCTTCCATTTCCACTCTCCATCCTTGCATGCTGCTCAGGCCATAACGTAAACCATTCCCAGCACCATGAGCGTTATGTTTTTCAGTTTTGGGTTTATCCAAAAATGCACCCATGTTTAGCAATGAATCTGAAAGAAAAAAAATTGTAGGCATTAAATGTTTCTCAAGTAAATTTTTCAGTATTATCCTAGTTTACTGAAACAACAATAAAAACACCACTAAGAAATTTCCTCCCCTACATCCTCCTTGGTTTCTTAGCCCTAGTACATTAGAATCATCAGACCAATTAAATCAGAATCTCTGGGGATAGGACCCAGATATAAGTATTTTTAAAAAGTGTCTCTGGTGATTCGCATGTGCAGCCAAGTTGAGATCACTGTTCTAGGAGAAAGGAAAACAGAAATAAAATTTGGTTAAGAAGTTTTTAAAATGTCAATTTATAAGGTAAGTCCTAATTTTATATAAGACTGGACAATGAGAGTATTCAGAATGATGAGTTGTCATGTTCAATAGGGTAGAAAAGTATGCTAATGTACTTTAGAAAGACTTTCAAAACC